CAGTCATCCAACTCCATATCAGAAAGCTGTTTGCTTGCCCTTGGGGTAAGTATGTTCTCCATTGTGCGGCACTGGCCAGGGGTAAGAACACCAGTGTCTGGGAATTCCACATTGAACAGAATGAAGAGCCTGCCCTTCATAAATGGTCTGCCATGGTGTGGCATTCCCTCGTCATTAATTGCTTTGTGTTGACCTGCAATTGAGAAACAAAGAACATTCAATCAAATGAATAATGTATTATCAGCTTCTGACGGTGAAATAGAAAAAGAAATGAAAACAAACACTAAGTTGTACTATATTATATACCAGGCTTAATAATCTCGCCAGGGTTTGATTTGATCAGAAGCTGCCTGCCATCAAGATGTGATAGGGCAAACTGAAACCCGCACAGAGCCTCTGTTAAACTAAGAGTATGTTCTACATAAAGGTCATCAAACTTCCGCTTAAACCTCGGGTGATCCTTTTGTTGCAATACGAAAACAATGTCTCCTGTGATTGTATCTGGCTGCAAATGACAAGTTGAAATCATTGAAGTCATGATCTAATGTTTCATAAGTTCCACAAAATGATCTACAACGAAAATGATGTTTGAACTATTGGCTGACACCAACTCAACTCATGCATTTTCCCAAATCGGCATGCCACTTACAGCTTCATCAGCTTGTCCCTCAAATGTAATTTTCTGACCATGCTGCATCCCTTTCTCAACATGCACTTCTAAGACCTTCTTCTCCTGTGTAACCTTGTTCCCTTTGCATTGTTGGCATTTATCTCTTTCATTTATCATCTCACCTGTGCATCAATGAGCAGTAACCTCCATATGTGAAATGAGAATAAAATACAAGAACATGCTGTAAGTAGCATGATGCCAAACGAGAACAAAATACTACTCAAGTACCTGAGCCCCTGCATTCAGGACAGACATGCTGCATCTGTTGAATCATCCCCAATCCAATCTGTCGAGTTGTGATTTTCATTCCTGTACCTTGGCATCCATAACATCTTCCAGAGGTTCCACTCTTTGAACCTTTCCTGAAATATTTACAATATAACAAAAAAGATGCCAGGGAGGGAGTTAGAGAATGTAAATGAAACAGCTGAATATTGTAAAAATGTATTTTAAAGGTCAAAAAACAGATGTACTTCAAAAGAAAGATCAGAAATTCCTATTAAGCCTCAGATGAAATCTTCAGCAAGCATTCAAAAGCCCAAATAGGCATATATTTCTATCCTTTGGAAGCTAAGCAAGCAAATGTGATAAATTCCAAAACTCAATTAAAATAGAAGGATTCATGAAAAGAGAAGTATCAATGAACTAGACTTTGTTAGTGCACAAATACACACATAATTTACGTTCAGTAACGAGAGAGATAGGGAAAATGTCTCATATATACAGCAGTCATCAAGCCA